AATTCTTTTTATTAACAAAAATCATATTTTTTTAACAAAATGTCATTTTCCAGATCTACTTCTGTGATTAACCACAGAAAACTCAGTAAAATTATACTTTGCAGGGACATGGTGTGAAAAGCAGAGCTGTGTTAAATTAATAGTTACTAGCTCCCTGCAGGAAAATGCAAAGAGGATATTAAGAATTGAATAATGGCAGGATATTAAACAGGAGGCTTTCAATAATAGAGAAAATATATAATGGCTCACTGAACAGACTGTGGCTGTATTTGGATTGGACTCACCCACTGTAGTAAAGCTTCCAGTTGGCTCGATATGGGTGTATCTGAAGCAGATGTTTGTCTAGCTTGCATCCTCTCTCATCTCATTCTTGAATGGTGCTGAGCACTCCTGCAAGATGCTGAGTGCCCCCAGCTCTCACTGAAGTCGGGAAGAGTTGAGGGGGCTCAGCGCCTGACAAGAGCGCTGTTAAATGGTGATCTATATTGCTTGAAACACACGAGCCATCTCTTTCCTCCATTTTGCTTGTTGTTAGTTGTTGTTAACAAAGGGAAATGATTGATTTCAAACCACGTTTGCTGGGAAACAGGCATGTTTTCCGCCTCTCTCATTTTGTTGTAAAGGAATGTTAGTGCTGGGGGCATGTACTGGATTAATAGTGATGGAGGCCAAAGAGAACAAGGACAGCAGGGGCAGCTCTGTAAGCTTCCCCCCTCACCTCTCCCTACTAACATGCCTCCTTCCTGACCTGAAGGAACCAGCAGTCTCCATACCTGTTCAATCCTTTGTCTCTTTGCTAAAATGCCAACAGGGCTGCTCAGTTGGGATTGTGGCTGCTCATGGTCAAATCATTCTTAAAATAGTGAGATACATGAGCATAGAGCCCTAGAACAGTGATTCTCAACCAGGGTACATAGAGGTCTTCTACAGGGAACATCACCTCATCTAGATATTTGCCTAGTTTTACAACAGGCTACATAAAAAGCACTAGCAAAGTCAGTACAAACTACAATTTCAGACAATGACTTCTTTATACTGCTCTATATACTATATACTGAAATGTAAGTACAATATTTATATTCCAATTGATTTATTTTATAATTATATGGTAAAAATAAGAAAGGAAGCCATTTTTCAGTAATAGTGTGCTCTGACACTTATGTATTTTTATCTCTGATTTTGTAAGCAAGTTGTTTTTAAGTGAGGTGCAACTTGTGGGTACTCAAGACAAATCAGACTCCACAAAGGGGTACAGTCGTCTGGAAAGGTTGAGAGACAGTGCTCTAGAAGTTATGGAAGATCACCCAGTCCATCTCCTTGCTCCCCCCAGCACATCAGCTTGAGGTACATTAACAACCTTGAACAGGACAGATATTGTTACTACATGCATTTGCAAGGTGTGGCATTTATACAGCTAGGGGTCTTATGCTAGATTTAGAAGGTATTCTGCCTTCTCCACTACAAAGGCCTAATAGAACTATGAACACTCTCTGCATGTCACTGAGTATCTCATTGTCATTTGCTTGTGTTATGTGCCTCTATTTTAATACTGACCTGAACTAATCTTTGAGCTGACTCCTGCCTTGGTGTGCAAGGGGGCCAAGGGAGAAGTGCAGAGGGGCTCCTCCTCCCCTGCCAAATAGCCACGTAGAATGGCTCCCCAGCATGCACAAATGCACAGGCAGAAATTCCTGATTGACATGCCGAAGCTCATACCACATCCCAAAGAGAGTGAGGGCTGTTGGAAGAGGGGGGCTACACAGTCCACAGGTGGCTAGTGGCTATGGTGCAGTCAGCAGTAAGTGCTAGCTGGAGCAGGTCAGGGCATAGCATACACCTGCTTAAGAAGAGCACTAAAATGCAGTCAAAAGTACAAGGATCCTAACAGAGTTCCTGATGCAGAAGCATCTGCCGTGGCCCTACTTATTCTCCCAGAACTGCTGCTTTCACCAGTTAGGATTGCCAGTTGGGTCCATTTTGTAATGTTTGGATGCAGAATTGGATCCAAATCTGAAATTCCCCAATACGTGGAGGTATTTGGATTCCGCCTTCTGGTTTGGCCCAATACAGAGAGAGGGCCAAGCACTGAAGTTCCAATCCATATCTGGATCTTAGATTCAGCTACCACATTGAGATCCTGTTACAAATACCTAGACAGCTAATATCTGGTTCTGCAGCTGCATATCCACCTAGTTTGATGAGATTCTACCTCAGTGCAAGCCCATCCCTAATATGCTTGACAACACACTGCCCAGACTTTTCATTCAATAGTCCATATATATCTCTGGAGAAGGCTATTTTTAATCATAAAGTTCCCATCGCACCTGCTTTTATTTTGTGGAAATCTCCTGAATTCACAGTGCTAGCCACACATTTACAATCTTTTCAAGTGTGAGATGTGGCAAGAGCAAATATTTTCCTTAGATACCCTACTTTAAATGTCACCTTCTTAAATCAGTTAAATTAAGTTACATCAGGCCCCTCCTGGCAAGTGAACTCTGATGATGAAAAATATAGAGAGAGAGGACAGGGGGAGAACTGGTTCGTTCCAATCTTTCCTGAAATTCCTGTTGACTTCATATGAAAGTAGGGCACTTCTTTGCACAAGACAACATGGCAGTATCTCTCATTTTAAAACAACTCATTCTCAAGTATTTTTTTCATGGTTGACTGTACCTTTTCAATTTGGTCCAGTACTTTGGGAGATTAAAGATAAACTTTGCTAATTGCATTTAGATTAAAATCCTAAAAAGTTAAAGCAAAGCATTCTACTGGCAAATTCACTGAGCAGCAAAAGATTCCCATTAGATAAATACAACATTGTCTAACTGGTTTTAATTAGGGTGAAAATGCTTTACTATCAACCATGCAAAAATAGTTTTACTGCATGAGGTAGCATCACTACAGAGCCTTTTTGAGGCACCGAAAAATCCTATTAGTAACTAATTGATGCAATTATGATGCTAGTGACACACCTGAAATAGCTGAGGGCATGACATTAAACTATTCTACCATACATGAGTGTCTTAAAACGGAAAGCCGAGGAGGCACACACACACTTAGGACCAAATCTTTTCCCCTGCCCAAAGCCTGATTAGATGGGCCTTGCACTAAGGACTTCACTTGACAATTGCTATTGGTGGTGGGGTGGGAGGCTGCTCCGTGGAGGGCTGTGCTCTTCCACTACATACACATGTACATGGGGGCGGGGAGAGGGGACTACAAATGCACTGCTGACATAACTCATCCTACCCCCAAATGCCTCCTCTTTGAGTCTACTGTAGAGGCCCTTCTGCACCCTGCCACACTAATTTCACTGCATTCAGGGCTTTACTTGGGCTACAGGATTTGGCACTTAATGGCTTATTCTCTTACATGAGCATTAATAGATGCTAAATTCTCTGTCTATAAAGGAGAGAGTAGACCTAGTAGGATGCCAATCATCTAAAATACCAGCTTCACAGGTGCCTGTCACAGATACTCCGTGACTGATCATCCATACAGTCTAACCAGGAGTCTGGTTCCAGAGGTTCAGTGGTGTGGAATAGTACTGCACTTCCCTCCTGAAGTGGTAGCCATACAGAGTACGGTATGGCCCCTAGAAAAGGGCCTTGGGAATCCTCTCCTGTGATTTCATGGATCAAGGATCTTTGCAATTGACTGACAGTGAGCCAGCTGCAAAAGAACCGGGGCAGCTTTACAGGCCAGCACTTTGACTAACAATAAATGCAAAAGCTGAAATGCTCATTTGGGACATATTGCTCTGGATTGTGTGACTATCCACTAAACCTGCAGGAAAATTGGTTTAGAGAGAAAAATCAAAGCAAAACCTCTCCATACGTTTGCCAGCTCTTATTCCAGCCTTGAGCTGAGTGACAGAGAAGTGTCAAAAATAGCCACCTTGCCTGCAGACAGGGCCTTCTGGAATCAGGGTAATAGATGTAGGGGACAAGAGTAGAGGGAGAACTGTCCAATACACAGAGGTTTTGTGTAAAGTATTTATCTGCTGCCATTTCTCTATGCTCACATCCATCACCTTTTTTAAAAGAGAAGGAGAAATGGGGCAGACTTTTACAGCTCAGATGAGCTTTGGCTGAAGATGGATATATATCCTTCCTTTGGCAAGGAAGGCTACAGATTATTTTGGATGGATACAGCCCTTAAAAATCATTGCTCACAAGATTAATACAACAAAGATATTACCCATTAATAGAACACTGAATACAAATATTTGTATAAAATTGCTACCACAAATGATTTTACATTTCCCCCCTCGTTAGCAGGCCATAGAAACATATTAGTGCCTAAATGTAAACAATTGTCAAGGTCTATCAGCAACTTCCCTTAAGCTACTTCCCTCCAATATATCTCTGTATATCCCACCACTGTATGTAACACATGTACCCAATTCACCATGGGAGGTTATGTATGTGCACAGTAGGGCTATCTGGTAAACCTTGTGATTCATTTATCCCCATAGATGAATCATTGGCAGTTAAATAGGCTGCAGAATTACTGCACTTTAAATCATTTCTTTCATTCATAAATAAAGCTTATTTGACCACATGGCTTTTGTGGGAAATTTGGATTTCAGCATAATGAACCAAAAAGAGCCACGGACTTTATTTTCTAGAAGGGGTCAATCCAATGAACTATAATCATTATCATTTCTGGCTGTCAATAGTCTGATGGAAATTGGAGCTTTTGCCCCTCCCATTTAAAACTCACTTGCCAGCACTTCATCCTCTGGAGTACAGGTTCTGGAAATATCAAGCAGATTCAGTACTAACACTCAGATTATCATCTCTGCTCACTGTCTTTAGAAGGGGAGTCCTAGTTAAACCAGCCATGCATCCACCTGCATGCCACTGCTTTAAGATTAATAATATCTACACTTTACACATAGCCAACTGATCATGTGCATTTTAGTTCAACACACAAGAATCCTGAAAATCCGCTACTTACAATTGAGCCAATGCCGACCATCCAATGCATCTGCACATCTAGATAACTAGATTTCCAAGGAGCATAAGATACAGAGCATTTTTCATATAATGTTGTGATAGAAATACCAATCCTCAAAGCAGATTAAAAACTCAACAAAAGGAACAAACGAAAAACAGCAGAGCTACTAGAAAATCCAACCAATAGGAAATAAGCATTTTCTACATAAATCCCACTTTCATTTTGTATTTTGCATATCGGCATTGGCCTTTCACATCAAATTTATATATGACATGTATTGGCTGTTCTTGATTAAAGCTTTTGCCTCCACAAAATTTGCCAATGCATCCAAACTTTGCTACTGAAGATCAAGTTTAATAACTTGCACTTCATTTCCAGTACTGTGGCAGCTTTTAATGAACAAAATGTGTCTACCTATATATATTTATATAGCTATACATGTATATATACACAAACACGCACAACAAACACGCTTGTAGCCATCCACTCCTGCAGTATTCCAGTCTCCTGTCTTCTTAGAATGTGAAGGCATACACCACTCCCACAACCACAATGTTTCCAATTGTTGCTATGATCGCAATCCATAACAATATGGCATCGTTTGAGGAGCGGGATGTCTCTTCTGGCTGGTTCTGCATTGAAGCAGCTGCATGGACATTGGCCGATGAATTAAACAAGGAGTATTCTGTACCAAAGTCCTCATTGGGTGAGTCCATGAAAGCTCCTCCCATAACAGGAATCTGTGAAGAAGAATTTGACAACATTAGATTAAAGTCCAGGGTCAACTTTTTTTTGGGTCTTAATATGTTATTTATCTTTTCATACAAAGCAGTAACTACCACTCATTCTGGCAAAACTGCAAAGCTCTCACATGCACGATGTTGGGATGCAATGATCATATATGGAAGACTGTCCTTTGCCAGGCACATTCCTTGCCTTAATAATTAGACTAGGGGTGGGCAAACTATGGCCTGCAGACTGGATCCAGCCCATCAGGTCTTTGGATCCACCGTGCGGGATTACCAGCCACTTGGCGCCACGGGGCTAAGGCAGGCTCCCTGCATTCCCTGCCCCCGCGCTGCTCCCTGAAGCAGCCGGCACCATGTCCCTGCGGTCCCTGGAGGGGAAGGCGGGGGCAGAGGGCTCCGCATGCTGCCCTTGCCTGCAGACACTGCCCCCTGCAGCTCCCATTGGCCGGGAATGGGGAACCACGGCCAATGGGAGCTTCGGAGGAGGTACCCGCAGGCGAGGGCAGCACGCGGAGCCCTCTGCTCTTCCCTCCCCCCAGGGGCTGCAGTGATGTGGTGCCGGCCGCTTACGGGAGCAGCGTGGTGCCAGCGCAGGCAGGGAGCCTGCCTTAGCCTCACTTCATGCCACTGCCACCCTGGAGCTGCTCCGGGTAAGCAGCGCTGGGCTGGACCCTGCACCCCAGGCCCCCCCTGCACCCCAACCCCTTGCCCATAGCCCCTTCCTGCACACGGCACACCCTCCCATACCCCACACTTCCTCCAGCACCCCAGCCTCCTGCCCCAGCCCTACATTCATGGCCCTGCATTCAATTTCTCCACGCAGATGTGGCCCTTGGGCCAAAAGGTTTGCCCACCCCTGCATTAGACAATGGATCTGTCCATGCCTTGCATCATCTTCATGGGATCTTTGCACTTTTTGATAGTATAGGCAGATTTTAAATGTGCACATCATAACGTTTCCATCAGCACTATTAACTTCATTTCAGGGGACCTGTGATATTATACATGGATCTGAGAAAGACAGTTTTCTTTCTGTATGTCTGGGTACTTATATGACTCCCATCAACATAATTTCTGAGTGGAGGTGGCTGGACTTTAAATTCAGTCTGTGATTGGGGAATCAGGCACTTTTAAAACCATGCCTGCATTTTTACTTCTCTCAAGCAGGATAATCTTATACTGTAAAGTAGCTGCTCAGCTCCTTTCTTTGGCTACTTGACTTTGCTCCTCTCTTTGGACAATCATCCAAAACGGGAGGGCTATAAGACGGGAGCAGCTGAAGAACCACCCTTCCCTGCTCAAACAAGCTTCTTTTAAGGGCCAGCCTGCCCTTGTGACTAAGTAGGTACTTCTGAGCTGGGATAGGTTGATTCCACTCTAAGAGCAGCAGGAAGCGGTAGAGAGAGGGGAGACACTCGGGGAGAGACAATGAGAGGAAGCTGTGGCAGAGGCTGCAGTCAGAAGAGCTGCAGTGAGCAGGAGGCTCTTGCCAGATACCCTTGACCAGGGGGAAAGGTTTGGACTTACTTTCATAGGTGCTTCCAGAGCAATCTACATCACAGCCTTCCTGTGCAGCCTCGTTGCCAGGAAGCTAGAGGGGGCACAAAGGGCCTCAGAGCAGGTGCAGAGGTATGAGGCCTTTGCATGGATAGGTCTTTTGCATATCCCCAGGTTCTGCCATCAATATCCCCTGCTCATTTCACAGGGTGGGGTGGGCTGGTGCATGAGGCAAACTTGTCACTGACACTCACTCTTAACACTCTTTGGGGAAAGTATCATGAGGGGAGTCTCACTGAGATTCCCCACCCCCAAATCCCTCCAGTGGTTTTTCTGTGGGAGGGTTGACTGATCACACAGCATCAAAACATGCTGTGCCCTGTGGATCAGACACCAAGAAGTAATATTTACATACATTTCTCTATTAACAGTTTATTGCATGTGGCAGTCAAAAGATCTATTCCAGAACTTTGTATCCATTCTGCCCTAATAAACATGACTCGGAGGCAAGCCTGGTAAAATACAGTGCTTTTGATTTACTTGGGAAGACAGCTGAATCAAACCACATAAATAAAAACACTATTAATCTTTAGCTGGTTTTTGCTTCATTGTAAAGAAGCCAGAGCTTTAACTCAGCCTGATTATGGGTCCCATCAATTGGTATCAGATGGGACCCACAATTTAAGAATGGTGGAAATCTTGTAATACTTTGATCATTAAGACCCTGATCCTGCAAAAAAGTATGCCCATGCTTAACTTTAAGCAGGTGAGTACAGTAACTCCTCACTTAAAGTTGCCCTGCTTAACGTTGTTTCATTGTTACCTTGCTGATCAATTAGAGAACATGCTCGTTTAAAGTTGCACAATGCTCCCTTATAACGTTGTTTGGGAGCTGCCTGCTTTGTCCACTGCTTGCAGAAAGAGCAGCCCCTTGGAACTAGTGGTGGGGGCTTGGAACCAGGGTGGACTGGCAGCCCCCCATCAGCTCCCCTAAGTTCCCTGTGCAGCAGCTGCCCAGCAGGCTAGCAATTGCCGGCAGTTCAGCTGTCCCTCCTCCCACTGCCGTGCGCTGCTCCTGCCCTCTGCCTTGGAGCTGCTCCCGGGAGCCTCCTGCTTGCTGTGCAGAGGGCGGGGGATAGGGATGCTAATGTCAGGGTGACTCCGAGAGGGACAGGGACCCTCTGCCGAATTGCCGCCGAAGAGCCCGACGTGCTGCCCCTTCCCCTTGGCCGCCCCAAGCACCTGCTTGCTCAGCTGGTGCCTGGAGCCGGCCCTGATGACAGGTGGTCCTTTTCTTCCTTTATAGGAATGAAAAGGAAAGAATAGATTCTGTGAAGGAAACAAGAATGGATAGTTATCTCACTGTACTGATCCTATTTCTTAAAGGAAGATTACCATTAGCATCAAACAGGCTGATCCTGCAAGATGCTGAGCCTTTCCCACTACCCGCAGCTCCTGATGGAGTCATTAGGAGTCGAGGGTCCTCAGCACATTGTAAGACTGGCCACATAAAATACAACTCTTTCACCTAAGGAGAATGGACTACAGCAAGGAAACTTAGTAAAAGGCACTTTGCAAAAAAATCTGTAATGAACTGAGTATTCCAGGGACAGAAAATATTTTTATTACAAATACGGTACCTAAAACCGATCACCAGTCATCCTCTGATCCTAAAATAAATGATTCACAAAATTCCAAATCAAGAAGCAGACATTTACAAATGCCTTATTATATTATCACTCCACAGTCTGATTTTCTTTCAAACCGTTTAAGAATGAGGGACCAAGATCATTTTTTGCTTTCCTAAACATTTCCAGAGCATAATTCAAAAACCAGTCAGAGAACACTTCAACCTCCCTGGACACTCAATAACAGACTTAAAAGTGGCAATTCTTCAACAACAAAACTTCAAAAACAGATTCCAACGAGAAACTGCAGAACTGGAATTAATTTGTAAACTGGACACCATCAAATTAGGCCTGAATAAAGACTGTGAGTGGATGGGTCACTACAAAAACTAAAAACTAATTTCCCCATGCTAATTTTCCCCTACTGTTACTCACACCTTCTTGTCAACTGTTTGAAATGGGCCACCCTGATTATCACTACAAAAGTGATTTTTCCTCCTCTTGATAATAGCTCACTTTAATTGAATTGTCTCGTTAGCATTGGTAAGACAACGCCCACCTTTTCATGTACTATGTATGTATATCTTCCTACTGTATTTTCCACTCCATGCAGCTGATCAAGTGGGTTTTAGCCCATGAAAGCTTATGCCGAAATAAACGTGTTAGTCTCTAAAGTGCCACAAGGACTCCTCGTTGTTTTTGCTGATACAGACTAACACGGCTACAATGCTAAAACCTGTCACAATAATCATAGCTTCTTGGGTTTAGGCTAGAATGTTTGAAAAAGCCCTTGGAAAAAAATCTTTGGTCAACAAATGAACCTTTACTTATGGGGGGAAGGGGAAATTATGTTTACCACAAACACCACACATTATTTGCAGGGGGAACTGGTGCTTGCTGTTCAACAGGCTCTCCAGGGCCTGATCTAGTCCTCTTTAACGTCAATGGAAAACACCTATTAACATCAATGGGAGATGGATCAAGTTTCAGTAGCATGTCTGATGCACCGTCCACCTTTTGGTTTTCAACAGTAAATGATCATTTATTTCTGAATCAAGAACCTATTTCTCAGTTATTAGAGGAGGGATGATTAGTGCATTATCCATCTTCAAAAGATGAAATGTGGAGTGAAGTCCAAGCTTTGAACAATCCTGTTATTCTCATATTAATCTTTACTCAAGCCTGAGCTTATACAGACAGATTTCTCAAAATATCCCCAGGGGAGCATTAGTAAATGACGCTATAAGTATCAAACAGGCCTTGAAATGGGGAGAGTGCAGTCTCAGGTTGGGATTACATTTTAAAAACCTACTATATTCAAGGCACTTGAGAGACAATCTTTCAGAAAACAGTTTTTAACACGAAAGGACCAGAGCATTAGAGCCTGCACTAAGAATTTGGAGCAAACACAGCTCTAAGCTCTGCACATCCCAGGGAAAGAAAAGGCTAACAACTTCTCAGGGATCCCACCGTTTTTGTGGGAACAGCCTCTGTAAAATCAATTATGTTCTAAAAATGATTTGGTTTCCTTTGCTCCAAAGAATACAGGGGCATGTGTGGTTTAACAGGCTCTCTTCTGGGTGGTTGAACAGCATCGTGGGCCAGTGAAGAGTGGGAGGAGTGAAGTCATGGCCCCAGATGCTTATGGAGCAGGGCATTATTGATCAGTTGCCATGTTTCACTGGGAAGGTGGGTGCAGTGTACTTGAGTAGTGGGCTAGTGATTCCTATATACGGTACCAACAGTTTATAGACTGAGGATCAAATTTTCTCCTTCACCACACCATAAAAGACCTACAAGGGCAGGGCAGGCTTACATGTCCTGTTGCCGTTCAACCATATCACCTCTTGTGAGAGGTGAGGCTTG